TATATATTTTTATAACTTATTAATTTACATATATATATATATATATATATAATAACTTATAAATGTTTAGAAATTTTTTTTTTAATTTTAGAAAAATGAAAGTTTAGTTTTTAAAAAATGTAATTTTTTTTTAAGTAAATTATTTTGTTATACAAATATATTAATTTAATTTTTATTATTATATACAGTATATATATATATATATATATATATATATATTTGAATATATATATATGTTGTATTAGTGGATAATTAATTAGTGATTAAATTTTTATTTTATTTAGTTATAGATATGAAAAAATTTGTCAAAAAATAAAATAAAATAAAAATTACTACCAGTTCATTGTTCCCTGATAATATTTTATTTTATTTTTTAGAGAGAGAGAGAGAGAGAGAGAGAGAGAGAGAGAGAGAGAGAGAGAGAGACTCATTTAGCTAACACGTGATATAGTTGTGATTAAAACCAAAAAATTAAAAAAAAAATCATTTAATATAAATAATATTTAATGAAAGAGAGAGAGAGATTTTAGCCAATTATTTATTAATCAATATATATATTGAAGTCTATGTTTATATTAATTAATTAATTAATCCATTTGATTGGATAATAAAATTAAAAAAATAAAATAAAATATAAAGATTATTATATTATCGAAAATCATAAAAAAAATAATAATTTTTATTTTAGTGTTAATTTTGCACTTAAAAAATATTTGTTAATTAATTTATATATATATATATAAAAAATGTGTTTAGATTATTAAGCAATTTAATATAAACAAATATTTTTTTAATAGATTAATTAAAAAAAATATCTTAATTCGCATAATTTTTTTTTTTAATATAATTATTTATTTAAAATAATATTTATCTATTAAATATGAGTTTATACTGTATATATAATTATCACACAAACATGTAATATATGCGCCAAAAAAAAAATATAAAATAAAATAATTGATTTTTTTGTTGTTGTAGACAGACTAATGATATTAAATTTTATTTTTTTTACTATCAATATTATAGGCAATTGGCAACAACCTTGGTTATTTTTAGTACTATAAAAATAATTTTAATTATATAACACCAAATAATATCTATATATATATAATATTATCATTGTCTGGACATTTGACAAGTTTTTTGTTTGTATAATAAAAAAAATTTGTCTAATCTTTTTTTTTATAAATATAGTTATAGTTAAATAATAATAATAATAATAATTTCTATAATTTTAATTTTTGTATTATTTTTTCATTATATATATAGTTTTAATTAAAAAAAAAATTATTAATTATTTTAATTTTGACATTTAACTATGAAACAAAAAAAAATGACATTGATCAATTATTGATTATCAATAATACAATATCACTAATCTTATCTATAGTACTAGTATTATTGAAATTAGTTATTATTGAAATTTAATGTTTATTTTTATAAGATATTTCATTAATATTTTTGGATAATTACTTATTATCAAAATTAAAAACACTAAATATTAGTTTATTGAAATTTTTTTTTTGAAAGTTATAGATATTTTTATTTTTAGTAATTTTTGTTTAAAAACTTTTATTTATAATAAAAAACATAATTATATTTTAAAAAAGCATTTTAATATATTGTATATATATATATATAAAATATTGCAATTATTTATAAATAAAAGTTTTTTATTATTATAATTAAATTAAATTTAACAAAATTAACTTGGACAACTAAACTATTTTAATATTACTATTAATATATATATATATATTAAAAATTATATAATAATATACTGTATAACAATTAGATGAGGAGGACATACCTAATGAAAAACATAGCACTAGTAGTAGTGCTATGTTTCTAAAACCAATGTACATGGCTGATTTTTAAAAAAAAATTATAATTATGATATATTATTATTATTATTAGTTAATTAGTTTAATTAAAACTTAAACTATAAATTAATAAAACACACACACAAAATAAAATAACTATTTTTTTTTATTAGACACACTTTATTATATATGGGAAACCATTCACCAAATGACAGTTTAATTGCCAATTACTAACAATTTAATAAAAAAAACTATTTTTAATAACTATATATATATATTAAAACATCCAAATAAACGTTTGAAATATAATTGATGGTATATGGTTGATATGGGCAGCTTATGTATGTATTTAAGTTTAACTAACTGGAGCTGAATCGTAGCCAATAATAGGCTAATAAATTTGTCAAAAATTTTTTTTTATAGATGATTTATATAGAAAAAAGACCAGTCAGTGTGTGATAGTACAGTAGTAGTAGTATATGAAAACTGATATACCGTTCCCATCCCCCCCCTTGACTTATCGGTTCCCAAAAATATCCATTAGATATATATATATATATATATACAGTATATATATAATGATTAGTTATATAGTATATTACCAATACATACATTAGTTCAGAGTCCGATATATTTAATAGATTTAATAAATATATAGCAATAATATTCAGTATATATATATATATACAACTAATATATATATATATATATATATATATATATATATATATATATATATATATATAATTTATAGATGAGATACCAAATTATATAAACACTGAATAATAAAGTGTCATTCATGCCATCTCTCTCTCTCTCTCTCTCTCTCTCTCAATATATATCAGTGATTTAACTTAATTTTCTTATAAATTAATTTTTTTTTTAATATATTAGCAAAAATTGTCACATATATATATATATATATATTAAATATATAGTATATATATGTTGATAACATTGACAAATATCATTTTAATATAATATATATGTATGTATATATATATATGATAAATTATAAATGATATATCATTTAAGTGATAATTGATAATACTACAATTCAAAAAATTTATTTTTTTATTAATTATTTAGAATTTACTAGAATTTGTATTTAAAAATTAAATTTTATTTAAATATATGTAAAAAATTTATTAATTAGCTAATAATCAATTTTAATAATTTTTAAATTGATATAAAATATTAATTGATTTTTGTTAAATGTGTGCATATATTATAGAAAATTAACTTTTGATTTTTGATAATAAATTATTGATCAATAAAAATTACTTAATTAATATTTACTTTAAAAAAATTAAGGTATATTAATAATTATTATTATTATTATTAATTTTTATAATAAATGCACTTAAATTAAACTTAAAATTATCAAAAATTTTCTATATATTACCTTTTTATGTAACTTTTAAAAAATATATTTTATCTTTTAAAATATTTAAAAATATTTAATTGGCATATATATATCTAGTGATTAATTCAATGAACTAATTATATAAACAATTAAATTGATTAATTAAATAATTTAAATTACAATGAGGTTTTTATTTTAAATTTAAAAATTATAATTAAATATTAAGTTTTTTTGCACTAAATATTATAAATAATTTTATTTTAATAATTTTTTTGTCTCTATTTGCTCATCAATTGATGAATAAATTGTATTATCTATTGATATTTTATCAACAATTTTCAAGGATTCCTATATATATATATATATATATATATATATATATATATATATATATATATATATATATATATATATATATAAATATATTAATATCAGTTAATATATTTAATTAATTTTAATTTTCAGAGATATACTTAATGAAAAACTATTTCAAACCAGAAAATAATAATTAAATTATTTGTTTTAAATTTTTTTATTGAATAATTTAGTTTAAAATTATAATGAATTTTTATATATAAAAAAAATTAATATTAATTATTTAAATATAAAATTATTTAAAACTAAAATAAATAATTGTTTTTGTGTAAACTAATAATAAAATTTAAAATTTTTTTTTTTAAATAAATTATTACTAATTAAATAAACAAAAAATAATTTATAAAAGTTGATTATATATATATAGTATTTATTATATATAGTATTTATTATATATATATATATATAAACTTTATATGAAAATATCAGCAAATATGAAGTTTACACTTTACATAACACATCGATGATTAATAATAACAAATAATAATATATAATAATAATAATAATTTTAATCAAATAATCAAACATTGATAATGCAAACTAACTATATATATATATATATATATATATATATATATATATATATATATTTGTTAGTTTGCATTATCATATAATATGATACGAAAAATTTTTATATATCATATTATTATTAATAATAATATCAATAATAATAATTTATATTAAAATGATTCACCAAATGCTGCATAACTTCCTGTTTATAAGTTATATACAAAATAACACAAAAAAAAACAAAATTACATACAGTTTACTGGGAAAAACTACAGTATTTTATATATACAGTATATTTTAATTGATAAACAATTATATTTACATAATATTGTTGCTAATGATTAATAATAATAATATCAATCAAATTGCAAATAACATAATTGATAAATATATAAATATAATTAATATTTATGATAATTAATAATGTTATTTAATGGTCAAAAATTATTTGATATATGTATAACAAATAAAATTAATAAAATAACATTATATATATATAATTATATACTGTATATTAATATATTTTTAATATCAATTAATATATAAATTTATTTTCTATAAAACATGTTTTCTAATCGTTATTTTGTTGTTTATATAATATATGGCAATATTTTCCTATTAAATACTAAAAAAAAAATAATAACTATTTTTTTCTAATAAATAACTATTAAAAAAAATGTTTTTTTTTAAATATAAATGTTTTCAATTTCAAACATATTCAATGAAATCTTTGTTTTTTTATATATAAATATTTATATTAAAGTATATTTTTGTCGGAAAAAAAACTATTTTTTTAGGTTTATGTAATTTTTTTGTCTCAAAAAAATTAATCTTTAGTTTTTCTGGTTTATATTTTTTTTAATGAAAAAAAGTGTTATATAATAAATATAAAAATTAGTTAGTTATAGAAAGTTAAATAATATTTATCAATGGGAAATACTGTACAATAATAATAATAATAATAATAATAATAGTTATGTTTGATTAGTTAATATAAATATTGTTGAAAATAAAATTACAGTAAATTTATTTGAAAAATAATTAATTATTTTAAAATTTCATTAAAAATATAAATATTATTATAGTTATGATATTATTTAAATAAAAATATTTAAATATAATTATCATTAATATATATTAATATAAATAAATTTAATTTCTAAATAATAATTATAAAACAAACAAAAAAACATAGTTTTTATTTATAATCAATTAATTAGAAAAATCTTTTTATCAATAAAAAAATATATGAATATTAAATAATTATTCAATAAACAAAATTATTATTAATATTTTTTTGTTATAAATTTTATTTTTAAATAGACACTAATGTTTTTAGTGTATTGAGATTTCTATTGAGTTAATCAAAAAAAAAATATATATATATATATATATATAAATTATTGAAAATTAGGGATCAATTTCCAAAGTACACTAAAAATTTTTAGATTTGATTATTGTCTCAACAAATATTTAATATATATATATATATTATATTAGTTTTATAAATGTTATCAATAATTATTATTATTATTATTTTATTTATTTATTTTTTTGTTGTTGAAATCTTCAATATTCAATTGAATTTGAAGTTTATGTACATATTTATTTTAATTAATTTTAAGTCAATAACTGTTAGTATTATATATATATATATATATAATTAGTATAATATAGTAATATACTGTATATATATATATATATATAATTTATATATTTATATATTGTTTAGCTGACACTCAATAATAATACATTAATAATAATTCATAATCTTAATAATATTACTCAAAAAAACAAAAATTATTACACATAACTATTTATAATAATAATAATAATTATAAATGTTTATACATGTATTATTAATAATAGCTATGTGTAATAATTTTTGTTTTGTTTTTTTGAGTAATATTATTAAAATTATGAAAATAATAAAAATTAATTTTGTTAAATTTTTTGTTTGAAATAAAACATTTAAATCTTATCTAATAATATAATTATTTTTACTGAAATAAATAAATTAATTATTTAAACAAAAAATTGTTAAAAATTAATGTATTTTAATAAATGTAATTTTTTTTGGGGATGAATGAACACTAAATTTTATATTATGTTTGCATTAGATATATATATATACCAAAAAATAAATAATAATAAATACCAAAAGGGTTTATAACTTTAAAATAATATGAAAAATAATACTTAAAATTTTAAATTAACAAAATACTTGTTGTTAGACATATCATCACATCATGTGATAAACAAATTATATTTTATAACAGGTTTTACATTATAAACAGTATATATGCTATTGAAAAACAATAGACAATAATAGTAAACATAAAATAAATTTTTTTTTTTTTTTGATTACCACAAACACATTACATACCTGTATATTATACAGTACTTTAAAAATATTTTATTGTATTTAAAAAAAAAAATAAAATAAAAATTTTATGACAATTTATTTGTTGTTTTACTACTACTACTACTACTAACTTGAATGCAGTGAAAGTTACCAACTGTTCAAATAAAATGTTAAAATAAATATATATTTTATTAATAGATAATAATAATAATAATAATAACCCATTCATATAGTATTATACATACCTGTGTATATAGTTATGGATATTAAAAAACAAAACAAATAACTTATACATGTATATCCATAGCTAGTATATAGACAGGTATAATACAGGTGCTATTGTTTTAGTATTATTATTGTTGTAGTAGTAGTAGTGGACAACCATCTAATGTATATATAAAAAATATGCTAAATTTTATATTAATATATAATTGATTAACAATTTTATTGCTAAAAAAAACAGTACTATTGTTATTGAATAATAATAATAATAATTATTATTTTTTCAAATAACAATTATATCATTAATAATACTATAAATATAACTACGAGAGTATCTCATGAAAAGTTATTAAATACAAAATATTTTTTTTTTAATAAAAACAGTTTTATAATTAATTTATTATTTTTAGTTAATTGTAATTAAAAAAAAGTGAAACAAATTTATTTTTTTTAAATAAAATAATTAAACAAAAAATATGAATTTCTATTCATCAATACTATCATTATTTAGTTGTTTTAACTATTTATTGTTTATCATAATATTTATTGATAACAACAATATAATGGGTATGTCATTACTAATTTTTAAATCAATCAATTTATTGCTAAAATTTTAGTTTATTTATTAAAAAAAAGATAAAATTTATTTATTTTTTTGTGAATCAAATTTAAAGGTCAACTCCAGTCGACAACTAATGTTTGGCTAACAGTTAGTCCATTGATTGATAAGACAGTCCAACGACAGCTGGAAATTCATTGGCAAAATGCGCCGAAAAATAATAATCAAAACGATTGGTTGGGTATCTATACTACCGATCCCATGGACGACAGTCACGCTATATATAAAGTTATGGTCGATCAACGTATAAATGGTGATAATTTGTAAGTAATAATAATAATAATAAATGTTAATTAACTTAATTAAACAAAAACTAATATACAGTATATATATATATGTAACTAACAGGACAAACATACAGTTCCCATATCGTAACTTTCCTACTGGTAAACTAACCCAGGAGTGTCTCGGTTATTATGTTGCTTATGTACACAACAATTTGATTTTTGCTAAAAATTGTATGAAAAACAATCCGTTTTGGATGGAAAATAATTTGCCGATTATCGGTGACCGGCCACTGACCGCATTGGTCATACCGGGTACTCACGATTCGGGTAGTTATGAAAAATATGATCCAAAAACAAAAGATGGTAATTATTATATGGGTTATAATATATAAATTATTTAACAGTATATACTGTATGTATATTAATATTAATAATATACAGTATAATTATAATTATATACAGCAATAGAGTAATTAAATTTTATTTAAAAAAAATTACTAAAAAAAATTTAGATCCGGATATTATATTAATATATTTTATTAATAATAATAATATTAATATAAATGATAACAAATGTCTATAATTTTCTAGAAATACTAAAATTAAATCAATAATTAATAATAGTATTAATATTTTATTTATAAAAATAATTATTGAATATAWATATATTATTGATAAACTTAATTAATATTTAATTAATTAATTAATTAATTATTTTTATAATTAAATTATAGTATTAAAAGGTTTTGTTATAACACAAGATGAGAGTCTATACAATCAATTGGTTTACGGTATCCGATATTTGGATCTACGGGTCGGCTATTATAATGTTACCGACAGTGATGTTGATGGCGGCGGCGGCGGCCGCGGCGGTGACAGCGATAAACTATGGATAGTCCACGACTTGTATCGTACGGATGTGACACTGAGGTCAGCCCTGGAACAGATCAGAGAGTTTCTGGAGTCGGCACCCAAAGAGATAGTCATTGTTGACTTTCATCGGTTTGTCAATGGGTTTACTGATGAAAAAGATGTCGATATATTGAAGTCAAGATTTCGTGAATGGTTTGATTTAGTTAGCGGTCAGCTCAGGGATCTGATGATACCGTTCAGGTTAGTCCCCTCAAGTAGTTAGTTATTGGACTTTATATATATATATATAATAAGAAATTTAGTTTGAATTGAGTTTGAATTTAATTTGAATTTAGTTTGAATTTAGTTTGAATTTAGTGTGAATTTAGTTTGAATTTAGTTTGAATTTAGTGGAAATTTAATAGGAATTTAGTGGAAATTTAATAGGAATTTAGTGTGAATTTAGTGAGAATTTACTCAAATTTAGCAAAATTTGTAGTTTATAAATACAATAAAAAATGTTCACCTATACCCCCCCCCAAACTTTTTTTTAAATAGTTTTTTGCCATTTTTTACCCACCCTATACCCCACCCCCTGAAGTTTTTAGCAACCCTGATATAAATATATAAGTTATATACAGTATATACTCTATATATCTAACTAATTTAGTTTGTACAACCAGTCTAGGCTATGGTGTAACTGTCAATGAGCTGATCCGTCAAAACAAACGTGTTTTGGTAGGGTTTGACATGAATTCACGTAAATACCTGTTCAGTGAACTACTGTGGCCTAACGTCCGGCACCAATGGGCCCAAACAGATAGTATGGACCAGTTGGTCAAGTATTTTGATCGGACCCTATGTCCAGATAATAGGCATACCTTACGGTCGGCAATGGCTGAACTGACACCGACTATTGAAGGTATTATCAAATTAAAGTATAAATCGTTGCGATCGTTGGCACAGTTGACCAACAGTAGGTATGGCCAGTGGTTTGGCCAACGATGGCCCGGCCAGTGTCTGAATGTAGTGGCCAGTGATTTTTTTCTCAGTACCAATATTGTTGAGCTGGCACTTGACCTAAATCGTAGGACAGGTAGATATAGTAATAGATTTTTTCCGTGAAAAAAATATTTTAAATAATACATTAATTTATAAATGTATTTATTATTTTTTATTGACTTAATGATTGATTAATAAAAAAAATAATAAAAATAAAATGCAATAAATTTTTTATTGAACAATTTTTTTTTATTTACTTAATAACTATTAGTAATAAATAATTTTAAAAATAATATCAAATTGTTTTATTATATAATTTATAGTATAAATTTTATACAAATAAATATTACTTAAATAATAATATCGAAAATTTTAATCAAAAAAAAAATCAAATACTTATTATATATCATTACATTTTATTATAATATTGAAATGAATAGCAATATTTATTTATTTTAAATTACATATACTTTAAATTATTATTATTTATAAATGTTTTATATTATATAAATAAGCAGGATGTTTCATATAAGGTGTTATATGAATATACCTTATATGTTTTAGTTAAATTTATAATTTTTATTATAAAATAAACTGTATTTTATAATACAGTTTTGATTCAGGCGTCGGGTCTCAGCAATTAATGTCATGAAAATTATGATAAATTTATAACTTATTTAACCGATTATTATTGAAATTATTATTATAATAATAATACTAAATTAACTGTTTAATAAATTGTTTATTATTTAATAATAAAATAGTTGTTAATTATTACTAAAGTATTTATTGTTATCTAATAATAAAGTGGTTATTATTAATAAATTATTATTTATTAATAAACTGTTAATCTCATTGAACTTTCTGCTACCGATTACTATAAAATAATTGTTATTTATTAATTAAATATTATTATTTAATTAATAATAACTGTGGCTACCGATTACTTAATAGTAAGTTAAATATTATATTGTAAGGTATATATAAGTGTTGGTCGGTGATAAGCATCACTGATCAAGAGGTTGACCATCGGCTGGCCTGAATCCGCCGAATAGCCGGTGGTCACCGGACATGTGGTTGGCGGCGGTGTGGGATGAAAATCCTCACTCGCTTGGTTTTTTTTAAAGCAATTGTAATTACTTGTCGAGGGATTGACAGTAATTATAGAGTTGCACAACTGAGTCATACCAATTAACGGGTCGGGTTAGAGATAACCTGATGACTCAGTCGGCTTGAGGAAAGCGTACAATTTTTTTTTTAATCCGTCGCTGACGGACTAGGGTTGTAAAATACCCTTGAATTTTTTTTTGATCGCAAGACATTAATTTTATCTACAATTTCAGAAATTGTAAAATGGATCCAAATCTCGAGGAAATAACAGTGACGATAACCAATGAACCAGAGTTGCAAACAGGAGCTGACGATAATACAATAAATATTGGAACTCAAGATTACGTCCAGCAAGTTATCTGTCAAGCACTTGGTATTGATTATGTATCTGTCTCGGATGAAATCAATGCAATCATCAACGGAGAGACAATTGAGATATCAGAGATGATGTCGGAACTTAACACTATTGCTGATACTAATGATAAAACAGATGTTGGTGTCCAAGTTGACAGCGGTTTGAGTTGTCCAACTGTTGATGACCAACCAGACGGTCACCGTAACCGGCGGCTTAAAACCTATAAAAGGAGTTCACATAAACGAGAGCTATCAAACGTATCGAATAAACAAAAAAATTCAAACAAAAAAATTCGGTCAGTGGTTTCGACTTCTGATAAGTCTTTGAACAAAGGGGTGTCTGCAACTAAATCTACATCAACCGATTCAGTTGTTCAAACTAAATCTGCTGATCAAGTTGTTGTTAATAAACAGATACCAACAAACAAACAATCCCGTGATGACAAAACAAACAAAAAGTCTTCAAATGCTACCATCACTTTGCAAACTAAGGTTGGCGGAGACGCGGATAAATCAACCAACAAACCCGAACGTACCGATAAATTTTATCTATTACAAAAATACAATCGGGCAAAATTTGAAATTACTTATCGAGACAATGAAAATCTACCGAAAAGGGAGCCAAATTCAAAACGTTATTCGTATGTATCCGACAAAATAGTTACTACATTTGTAGTATCTAATGACGGTATGTACATTGGGTGCAAAAATGGACGCATCTATAAGTACAAGTATGACAACGAACAGCCAGAAAGTGTAAGGTATCTCAGTATCAAAGGACCTGTTGACGAAATTAAGCCTAAATGCCCAAAGGATTTTATTATTGCAAACAGTTCGGCACAAATTTGTCAATTCGATGACATTACAGGAAAGGTTATACACACTGAAAACCTGTTCATACCTGTTGTTAAAGTTGTTACTGAGGTAGTTTTCAAGCTACTGTTTCTACGTAATGGCCAAGTAATGAGGCTAAACATGGTCAACAGACATTTTACTGGAATACGACCACTTGTAAACTTGAATATGACTATCAAATCTGTTACGTTGCTAGACTATATAGACTTCAGTAAAATCACTCCATACCTAATACAATTTCCCGATCGCATAGCTGTTGTTGCGTTTACATTCAATCACGGAATGTTTCAGGAGATATATCGATTGTATCACATAAACATTGATGCCCGTGTGTGTGATAGGATGTCCATGGCTATTGGCCATCGATTTTGCTATATTGCTGATAGAGTTACATCTACTAATAGTAATGCTATTAGTAATGTAATAGCTGTTTATCACAATCTAGGATTCAAAGCAAGCGCTAGCCGTTCATTTACGACTATCGGTAAAGGTGTTACACACTTAAAGATAAGTGGTAACAAGTTGATTGTTATATCTGCACCAAAGCAAATCGAAATTTATAATGAATATACTCAAACATTGGAGTATTATATACCGGTTGTTGAAACAATTGTAAACATTGCTGTTATAAAAACAAAAATTATTTATGTCTCACAATCAGGGTTCGGTCATGTGGTCAATCTAAACAATCACAAAGTCGACAAAGACTCGCGCTTTGTAAAAGTTGGAGACACTTACCGTAGTGCTATTCTAAATCCGGATAGCATAACTGTTACAAGAGATAACCGATCAAAGCTTAAGAAACCATCAAAGGATATCTTTCGCGGATTAACCAAAGTTTATGGTGTGGAAACTTATTCAAGTATAGTCAACGATAAAGTTGATGGCCGTTTCAAAGGTGTGTTGGATATTTATGAGTTAGATATACATATTAATCTTAAGTCTAAATCTGAAACTCAAGCTAAACGTGACCTATTAACTGAGTTTCACAGAATTTACTGTACTAAAATTCTGTCTATTGATAAAATTAAAACTATCAATAAATCAATAAAATTGTAAACAAATCTTGTATTCTAATTAAACAGAAAATAAAACAATAGAAAATAAATATGTTGTAAAAGACAAATATGGAGTTTTCAATTTTTGTGGTAAATGCAAACAAAAGGGTTTTAAACACAAGCATCACATATATGACTGTTTCCGATGCTATCGTTGTGGTGAAGATGGCCACACAGAAAAAAGTTGTGGGAAAGGAAAATCAATCAAAATTAAAGGTACGTCAAGTGGACGACAAGGTTTAGTATTTAACAAAGAGATTATCAATAAATATAAATATGTCGCTATCGATGTCGAGAAATTAAAAGGCAACGATAACCAGCTGCTTGCGGGTTATGTAGCCGTTATAGCATTTCATGAAATTAAAATTTTAAATCGAAATGCAAATCAATTATTATATGCCGCAAAATTTCAATATCAACGCGAAGAAATAAAAAGCTATATGACTCGATGGTCAGGTCTACACCCGACACTTCATGGCGAAAGAGCTGTGCCTTTCACTCAGGTCAATGAAACACTTAATGAAATATTAAGAGATAAAATTATTGTTGGACTTGATGTTGTAAACGACTTAAAATGTCTTCAATTATCAAGGCTTATAACTGATAATCAAATAATCGATTTGAAAAATATTTTTATGGACAACAGTGGTCAGCCAATTGGTTTAGTGTATTTAAGTTATGTATTACTACGGAAGCAGACTCAAGAGATGACACCAGATGTCGGACACAATCCTATCAGTGATGCGCGCAACTGTGCTAAAATTTATGTGAAGTATATGCTCAATGAAATCATGCCTATAAATGGAACGTATGAATGGATACGACAATCCTTTAAAACAGACAACCCTAACTTTAAACGCAATTAGTTGTGAAATGTTATGAATTTACTTAACTTTATTTAATTATGAATAAAAGTTTTAAAGTTAAACTTGTGTATTACTTACTTATATCGACTACATTTATTGAAAATCATTATGTGGTCAAACGTGGTACACGACTTGGTTCGTATGCTAAAGGCAAAGCTAAAGTTGAAATTACTACTTCTGGTTCTATTGATTTGGAAAATACTACAACATCATCGTTATTGAACAATCCTACTAATACTGTACAATCTCTACTGGACAATATTACCGATATTGGTACTGATACTAAACTCGAGTTAAATTATTCAAATGAAAATGTGGAAAACTTTAATTCAACTTTAAAAAGTTTTGTAAATATTTCTTTGACACAACAAAATTCTACTGGAAATACAACTATACAATCAATCAATGATACCTCACTAAAATTAAATGTGGATAAGAGTATAACTGTAAACACAACACAAAGATTAATTGTTGAAGATTTCTCAGAATTCAACCGATTGCCAGATCGATTCAAGAATTTCATAAAATCTAAAAAGAGTGGTAACGTGAAAGGGTTCATGTATAGTAATCGTGTTGAGCAAATTTCAAAATCAACAAAAAAGTTTACTAATGATACTTATTTGATTAATACATCAGTCAACGGTATAAATTTTATTAAAACAGGAACAGCGCTTATTTTTGAGAAATCATGGGACGTATTTATGCGTATAGAATTACCTGACTTTCCCGTCATAAATTTATCAAATATGGAGGAAAAATGTAAACAAATGTTTCAAAGAACTCCTAATATTACGAGAGAGGAATGTAAAAATAATAGAAGATATTTGCTTGTGAAAACAACTCAGGAAGAGGGATGGTATGATATATACCCAATAGTGGA